CGGACCCAATGGTCAGCTCAGGTCGATACCCAATGGTCAGGTGAGCTTATACCTCCTGCAGAATACCTAGTCACGCCTCGCCATGTCGCGCGGGCCAAGGAACGCTAAAGTCACATGAATAGCGGGGCAGATGATCTGATAAGATGAATCTGATAAAATTTGCACCGGCCCAAGCTCGAACCCCGCTTCTACCCAGCCGACCATAGGCCGATCCCAGAGGAGATTCCGAGGCATGCTGATCCTGGCCTGCACACCCAAAGACTTTTTCCAGCCTGATGATTGCTTGGACTAACAGCGCTCGCTTCGCGGTGTCATCCACTCACCCTCGGCTCGTTGTCCCGTATTCTGACTCGATCCGCACGAGGAAGCAGAATCTGCCTCAGGGGGCAACAAGCATGCCAAGCCTGGTCTCGTCCATGTTGGAATTCTCCGCTCAAGCATCAACGGGTTGGATCTGAGAGCCAGTGACACCAAAAGACAACGAGCCATGGGATGAGTATCGGGCAAGCTACGACGCCTTCTCACATCATGGGGCGCTACGTGAGGCACAGGTTGGTTGGCACGAAGAGGTTGCCTACTTCATTTCCACCGTCTGCCCAATACGGATTTCTGAGCCGATTCTCGAACACAGCGTCCCCACCCAACCCGATGGGTGTGCTGATTCTCCTTGGCCGGCCAGAAACTCTTTGGCGGTTTAGTGGGCTAACCAAGGATGGTAGCTGGCGAACTGCCTTCAAACCCTGGACCTGCAAGTGACCGTCCCTTCCGCACTAGCAAGATCCTCGCCCAGGGTCCTTCGCCCGTCCGAGCCGATAGCGGCTCGGCCTTGGCCCTTGGGCGCGTCTTCATATATCATCCCTGTGGCGCCCCTGGCAGATGCCCGTGTTGCTAGTGTCCGATCTCTGTCCATTTGTCAAGCCCCTCACTCGTTACAGCGGATAACACGGTACAACACCACAGAGCGCCGACCTTTTTGATCTCGACGGCATCACCTCGCTGTTCTGCTTGGCAGCAAATCCCAGCGACCATGGACGTGTCGACTCCCAAAGGTCCTGCGGCCGAACCTCAAGCGGCAGCCGAGGCGGCTCACAATTATAAGCACAACTCCGATGATCTCAAGGTCAGCCCCCTCACCATCGAAGAGGGGTTCTCCGAGGGCGTCCAAGCCGGTGTTCGAAAAGTCGAGGCAACGGCCATGGTCTGGAGTAACTGGCATCTCGCCCTGGCATATGTAACGTGAGTGGTAAACAGGCGCACGGGCGGCGCAGTCTCACGCGGACTACAATCTAACACTCGAAAGCATTTGGTTCATCTACGTTATTCTCTCGCTTCAAGAGGTCGTTGTTCGGGCCTTGACGCCGTTTGTCACAAGCAGTTTCTCGATGCACTCGTTGACAGCGACAACATCCGTCATGGCGAGCATCATCGGCGGTCTTTCCAAACTTCCTCTGGCAAAGATTCTCGACACATGGGGTCGTCCCCACGGTCTCGCATTGATGCTACTCGTCTGGGTGCTCGGTTTTGTCATGATGGCTGCTTGTAAGAACGTGGAGACGTACGCTGCTGCACAAGTATTCGCTGTCGTCGGGTAAGTTGCCTTGTCCCCCTACCAGCCAGCGCCAATGGACTGATGATTTCTAGTGCGCAGGGTGTCAGCTACTGTCTGACAGTCTTCATCGCCGACACGTCGACTCTCAAGAATCGCTCACTCATGCTGGCATTTGCCTCCTCGCCTTATATCTTCACTACATGGGCCGCCGGCCCTATTGCCGACAGCGTTCTTGCTGGCCCTGGCTGGGAGTGGGGTTTTGGAGTCTGGGCCATCACGACACCAGTCGTCGTCTTGCCACTGATATTCCTTTTCTTCTGGAATCAGAACAAAGCCAAGAAGATGGGCCTGCTTCCTGAGCAAAGCACTATCAAGAACCTGACGCTCAAGTCTGTCGGACGTTATCTGATTGATATTGATGCCGTTGGCCTTCTGCTTCTTGCTGCTGGCATGGCACTCTTCCTGCTGCCCTTCAACATCTACTCGTACCAGTCCGAAGGCTGGAAGAGCCCGATGATCATCAGCATGATTGTCGTCGGCGCCGTGCTCATCGTTGTTTTTGTCTGCTACGAAAAGTTTTTCGCTCCTGTCACGTTCATTCCCTTCGAGCTGATTGCCGACCGGACCGTGCTCTGCGGTGGGCTCATGTTCACGTTTGTCTTTTTCAATTCTGGCATTTGGGGCGCCTACTTCTCTTCGATGCTCCTAGTCGTCTGGAACCAGGGTGTCGAGAAGACGACGTACATCATCAACATCTACCGCACAGGCTCTTGCTTCTTCGGCATCGTCGTCGGTCTGCTTATCCGCTACACTGGACGCTTCAAGCCTTTCGCGCTGTACTTCCTCATTCCGCTCATGATGCTCGGCGTTGGTCTTATGATCGAGTTCCGACAGCCTGATCAGAACATTGGCTATGTTATCATGACTCAGATCCTCATCGCCTTCGCAGGTGGTCCCATTGTCCTCTGTGGCGAGATGGCCATGATGGCACCGTCAGACCATCAGCACATTGCTGTCATCATCGCCATTCTTGACCTCTTCGGCAGCGTTGGTATGGCCATCGGCTCCACCGTCGCCGCCGCCATCTGGACAGGCACTTTCAAGAACAACCTTATCAAGCATATGCCCGAGGGATTCAACAACATCGAGAACATCTACAACAACATGTATGCGCAACTTGCGTACCGGTACGGTACCCCTGAGCGTCACGGTATTGCACTCGCATACGGCGATTCGCAGCGAATCATGCTCATCACTAGTGTCACTGTGCTTGTCGGTGCCCTTGTCTCGACCGCTTTCTGGAGGAACATCAACCTCAAGACCATCAAGCAGGTCCGCGGCAACGTGATCTGAGAGCACGCAGCTTTTCATCTAGTACATAGATTAATACGCGGTCATTCGTGGCCTACCTTGTCCCAGATCCTAGTTTCATGTGGCATTTGTCTTACAAAGTGACTAGAGCATAAACTTCGGACGACTTGATGTGCCAGAAATCTGTCGTACACAATAAAAAAAATACTGAATATGTAGCGTTCACCACGAGCCTACCCCGCTGGCACTGCCGGCTACCCTCATCTGACCCTTCGCCTCCCTGGACGCGTCCTCCATCTCCACAAACTTCAGCGGCCGATACTCCGGTTTCCACATCTGATCCCTAATCCACTCATCAAGGTCAGTGTCATTTTTGGGGATGTCCTTCTCGATAGCCACATTCTCAGCAACAGCAGCCTTGATCACATTCCTCGCAACCTGCACGCTGACGTCGCGTACAATATCAACACCCGGCAACAGCGGGGCCCTTTGATCCTTGAGGGCTGGGCCCAGTCCCGCGACTGCCTCGACAGCCGCCACGAGCATTTTGTCTGTGATGAGGCTGGCGCGGGAAAGCACAGATCCAAGACCTATGCCCGGGAAGACGACCGAGTTGTTACATTCGGCGATTTCAATCTCCACCTCCGAACCGTTCTCGCCCCAGGGCCCCTTGACGGGTTTAAAAGGCGAGCCTGTAGCAACGAGCGCCTTTCCGCCGGTCCACTTGAGTAGATCTTCGGGGGCCGCCTCGTGAAGCCGTGTCGGGTTCGAAAGTGGCAGGATGATAGGTCTTTCGGCGCCCTTGGCCATGGTTCTTACAATTTCCTCGGTGAACGATTTGGGCACAGTCGACGTACCAATCAAAACGTTCGGTTGTACAGTTTTGATAACGGAGAGAAGCGATGTGTCCTTGCCTTTCCACTCTGCCGCGTCCTTACAGAAGCCTTGTTGAGCGGGCGATACGTCGAGGGCGCTTGTAAGCAGGCCTGGCTTATCAACGAGCCAGATCTGTTCAGCCGCCTTGTCCTTGCTGATGTTGCCCTTGGCCGCGATAGCATCTCGAACCTGATCAGCTATGCCGACTCCTGCTGATCCGGCTCCGAAGATAACGAGACGCAAGTCGGTGAGTTCTTGCTTGCTCACGTGGAGGCCAGCCAGGATAGCGGCCAGTGTGACACAACCCGTGCCTTGTACATCGTCGTTGAAGCAGGGGATATGAGGACGGTACTGGTCAAGGATACGGCGGGCGTTGGCAAGGCCAAAGTCTTCGAAATGGATGTATGCGCGTGGATACAGGCGACGGGCGGCTTTCACAAACGTGTCGACAAAGCGGTCGTACTCGGCCCCGCGCACACGCTTCTGTCGCAATCCCAGGTACAGTTCATTGTTGAGGTGATCTTCATTGTCCGTACCGCAGTCGAGAACCACAGGCAAGGTACGGTTCGGGTGTATGCCGGCACAGACAGTAGTGAGAACGAGTTTCGCCACCGAGATCAGAATGCCACCTACGCCTTGATCCCCGATGCCGAGAATTTCCTCGCCATCTGTGTGTGTTTGTGTATGAGCTCTTGTAGAGACGTGGGCGATGGAAGAGATAGCATCTTACCAGTAACAACAATGTAATCAATGTCTTCAGGGTGCCCCCATTGCGCCAGGTCATGGTGAACTCGCTCGACGTCTTTGATGTTGAGGAAACAGCCCTCGGGTCTCCTAAAGAGCTCGGAATAATTCTGTATGGCATCGCCCTCGGTGGGTGTGTACACTACAGAGAACACATCTGCTAGGTGATCCAACAGAAGCTATATACATGATCAACAATCGCTGGGTAAGCTTCTCAAGCGTGCTACAGACCGACCTTGTAGTACAGGACCTCATTTTGCTCCTTGAGCGAGGTTAGAAATGTGTTGCGGGCGAGGTCATCGCTACGAGACGAGTACTGGCGCCAGGCTCGCTTGACCTGCTGGTCCAGGCTATGGACGTTGTCTGGGAGGAGGCCGGTAAGGTTGAACTGGCGGCGCTCATCCGGGGGAAAGGCGGTTCCTTTGTTGAGATAAGGTGTATTCAGAAGCGCCGTGCCCGTGATGGCACACTTGATGGCACCACTGGTACTCAGCGGCAGATGGGCGAACCTGGATGTCTCGTCTGCTGCCATGCTCGCGAAAGTGATGTGTCAGTAAAGAATCTCGAGTCCGTTGGCAAGTTTTAGGCACACGGTTCGTGGTCAAGATATCGAAAAACTTGGCAGACAACTGGATATGCAGTGGTGTGAAGGAAAGTTATCGAGAGGAGCCTGAGCAAGTGACCTGTCATGTGATGCGAGCTGACAGGTGGGAAACGCAAAAGGTCACTTGGAGCTGTCGCTGACGTCTTCAGTCGCTCAGCGATTGCACGCAGCAAGGCATCCACAGCTGCGAACTAATGCAGGCTCCGCTTCGCTCTACAAAGCTTGATCGATCTCGGAGCTGTGTATGCCCACTGCTGGTAAACGCGCAGCCTGTCCCAAAAACCTTGGAACAGCGACTCTTCAGGGTTTTCAGAGAGACGACCAATCGCTGCATATGGGAAGTTGTCACAGGCTTGATCGTGCAGAGGGGGGAACATGGTGGCATGTTGGAGCGCTTGGAGCCTCGCCCAGGTGGAGGGCCTCGTAGACGCAAGGTCGTGAGACAATCCGGGCGCGGACTATGATGGTTCAGGATTTGCTATTGCAGTAATAGGTCCTAGGGGCCTATGAGCGATCGCAACCACCCTCGATGCGCATCGCAAAACGCGACAGCAGTAGAGGGCCTCCGCGAAGCGAAGACTCGTATGTTTTGCCCGAAGGCCGAGTTGATTGCTATCTCATGCTGCGATGGACGGCGGATAAGGCGTCACGAGGTGCACAAATTTGTTGCTCCAATGGTACAGCAGCAGGTCACTTGAGCGCGCTGCCTCCATTCATGTCAAAATCGTGGACGGCTTTGGGGCCAAAAAAGGAATGATGAGAGAGAAATGTAGAAAGCAGAGAGCCTTGCAGTATCGTAGTAAAATTTTCTACAGTGATCCAGACCCCGCTGAGGCTGACATAAGCCCTGTGGGTGGCCCCGAGCAAAACAATGAAACGGCCCGTGCCTACCCGTTGTAGAAGACGCTTTTCCCTTGACCTTGAAAGTCGAGAAATGAATCACACGACATCCTGCCAGCCGACATGGAAGCCTTGCTATTGTATTGTCAGTCAACTCTGAATTTGACTGAAACTGTTGACTCGCAGATTTGGTCGTGTGAAAGAAATTGTGCCAAAGCTGGCCCTAAGCTAGTATTGAAGGCTGCCCGATGACACAAGGTGCTTGCTTCCCAGTCCGCGCCGTGATGCTGTGGAAACCAATATCGATGAGGTACATGGCTAGTTGAGGCATCAGCAATATAGGCACAGCACATCACCGGATGCTACCTGGCGCGTGAGTCTTGTCGTTGACATTCATTCTCGTAGTCCCAGATCCACAAATAAACAATGATAAATCATGGTACGGGCCCAACGCCATCAAGGCGCGTCAACGCGACTCAAATCAGACCAGCCCTCGCTGCCTCACCCGCGCCATCCTCGACAAGCTCACCAACACCCCTCTTGCCCTTACCAATGCTACCTTCGCTAACGCCCATCCTTCGGGCGACATATCGCTGTGCAATGATGCCGACGGCGAGACTCAGCTGCTCCTCAATCCACTCAGCAGCCCATTCCCTGGGATCGACACCACCACTCTCGACAATCTCCCTAATCTCGTCGGGGACCAACGAGCGCAGGTGCTGGTCTTCGCCATCTTCGCCGCTACCAGGGGTCAGAGGGTTCGCGGCGTCAAGCCACTTGACCCATTTCGCCGGTATGGTCTGACTGACGGTTGAGTACTCTATCTCGTGAACAGGGTCAAGCACAAAAACGGCGAAGCAAACAAAACTGTCCGTCTCCTTGGGATCAGCAACGGCAGGCGAATCCTGACCATTTTCAATGGCAGCTGCGCGTGCGAATAATGCAGCGTCCGAATCGACGCTTATGGCTTGGATCGCCAGGAAAAGATCCGAACTGCGCACAGGGTTGGTCTCGCTGACAGATTCGGTGGCTCGCACTTTGGCCTCTGCAATGCCGCCATGCGCGGCGAAGTACTCGCCAGCATAGCCCTCGGCGCCGGCGCGGCAAAGTTTGGTGCCCTCCACCAGGCCCTTGATCAGCCCGAGATCGCGAGCTAGCTCGGACTGCTTCCACCAAGGGCCGTCACGCCAGCCGGAAGCTACATCATTCGACCTCCGGCTGGTATTTTCCTGGCCCTTCTGGATGACCATCAGGTCGCCGCCCTCGACCTGAGCCATGACGCGGGAAAAGACTTCATACACGAGGGGATCGAGCGAAGGGTAGCCGACCATATCATGCGTAATGTGGATCATCAATCGTTCGTGCTGGCTGATTGGGGGAGCAAGAGTGTGTAGGAGGTCGGTGAAGGTGGGAAGGGCCTGCTGGCGTAGGTTGTCTCCTGGGAACGCGGTTAGAAACGCTTGCGAGAAGCCGCAATATGATCACTCACCCAGGGCCCGGAGCCCGCCAACATTGCCGCGCACCTGTTCCGCCCACTTCTTGGCCTCTTCGTTGTCCCTGATTTCCTTTACGGCGGCCTCTGCCTGCTTCATGGCAGCAGTTGCCGTGGAGAAGACACTTCCCCACCAGCCTCCGCCAGAAGGAGCTTCAGCGGGGGCTGCAACAGATTGTTCGATAACAGCCCTCTTCTCCGACTCTTGCACATCGGAGCTTGTGGCGCTCGGGGTGAAGCTGGCTCGCAAGGATCTGGCGCTGTCGTTGGATTTGCGGGGAGCTGTGGCAGACTTATCGTCGGCGACAGTCGGTGTCGCAGTCCGTCGAGCAGGAGATCCCTTGGTAGCAGGCTCCCGAACACGCGGTGTGTGTGGGCGGGAGGGCTGCTCGAGGTCCTTCTCAAGCTCGGCAAAGATGTCCTGGTCTTCCATGGCCTTGGAGGCGGCTGTCGTAGGTTTGGACTTCTTTTCGAGTGACTTCTTCGGGGCATCGTCAACAATGCCCTCGAATAGGTCATCAATGTCGTCGCCGGCGGCTGCGGTCTTGCCCTTCTTGGAAGTCATTGTAACGATTCTGGTGATGGTGTTTGCTACCGGGGGATTGGAGTTGGGAACGCCAGGGAGGCTCTAGGGATGGACAAGACGAGTCTGGAGAAGGTTGTGTTGCGATTTCGAAATCGGAAGGCTTGATGCTTTTGTCAAATCGGTTCAGAGAGCACCAGCGAGGCTGCAAAATAGACAAAATCACAGTGCTCCCTGTTCGTTGGTTTCGGTAACGTGATAACATGAAGCTCAGAGCATCCGTCACCAGGACATGCAAGCTGTCAGTGGGGGGGACGGGCTAGGCCAGGTGAGGTCTAGTACTCGAACGGCTTAGCCTTCTCGATTGTTCATTGGACTGATCGCCAGTCCAAGGGGAATGAGTGGGTTCTGAGTGAAGGGTAGCAGGGGAGGTACGTACCTGGCACCAGTCGTGCAGCCGTGGCCCATTCGGGAATCAAATTACAGTCCCAAGCAAAACGACTGACGAGACGAGGGTCCTCGACAGAAGACCGTCTACCCTACTGAAGGCTTTGATATTCATCCGGCAGAGAGCCGACTCTTTTCTCAAATCTTGGAGAACGCAGCCTCTGAATACTCGGGGGGATTCCTTGGCCTCCCCGAATCGAGAAAAAGAAGCACAACCCCTGCCTCCCTTTCACAGCTCACGGCTCTCTCACCTCCAAGCCGCCCCATCCAACTTGATTTTTGTCTGTCCTCAGAAGACAGCCTCCATCCCACACATTCACAGCGACAGCTCTTTCTCTCCCCTTCGCAACAGTCACCTCAATCATCATACCTCTCGGGTCTCTTTAGGTTGTTTCACATTTCCTTCCTTCAGTGAAGAGATTGTCACGACATCGATCCACCGCATGTCGCTACTCTTTATCTTAGACTAAGCCTGAGTCTGCCACTACCACCCTCTCAGATTTACACCAATTTTTTGTACCACGCATCATCAGCAACATCGCCAATTACCATGGATCGCCCTCGTGCTGGCCGCTTGGGTCGGCGAAAAACACAGCCATCGCTGACGACCAGCTTTGACATGGCAGAAAAAGCCGACCCTGAGGACTACGCTCAGAACCCTCAGAGCGCCCAGTCGACATCGCCAGTTGCCACCTTCTCCCACCAGACACCACAAACCGCCCCTGCCGGGCGACGCGGCGCTCGGCAATTGTCTACGCCTTTTGCTTCATCCTCTGCTCAGACTGCCTCCTCGCCATTTTCTGGCGGCGCTGCATCTCGAAGGAAGCGTATTCGCACGTTTGGCTTTGATGGCAATCCCGACGATGATGACGAGACCAACAAGAAGGGTTCTCACAATCTTCGTAAGCGAGCCAAGATCGACTACTCAGCACATGATTTTGAGGACGAGCTTCCCGAGATTGCCCTCCCTGCCCCGCGTACCGCTACTCGTCGACGAAGGGCCGAGAGCGAGGTGGTCGGTGACGGCTTCACGCCGCCCAGCACACAGCGCCGGCGCGCCAACTCGCGGGAGTTTTCTCATACAGATGACACTCCCGCCGGTCGCCGCAAAACCCCGGCCAAACGCCTTGCAGACCCGCAGCCCTACTTTCCTCCCTCAGACGATGTTGTCAAGGACACGATTGAGGTTGTCGGCGATTCCAGCGATCTGCACACGTCTGACGAGGTGTCCGACCATGAGTCCAAGGTTGAGTCTCCAGCAGCCGAGAGAAAATTCAAGCGACAATCTGCAACACCAGGCGGAGGACACGCACGCCCGACGTCGTCTTTCGAGCGATACGATCGGTTCGGCAACAGCAGTCAGCCAGACCATGATGCGCAGGCCAATTCTCGTGACAACGGCCAGGCTAGCCTGGAAATCGCACATCCACAACCCATACACATCAACCATGTCTCAATTATCACGGCTCCCCAGCTCTCTCAAGATTCAGACACACAGGCTGAGCGGCATTCCGACATGAAGATTGAGAGACTATCTAGCCGAGCCGCTCACTTCACCTCCTCGCCACGTGCCTCGTCAGCCGAACAATCCGCCGCTGGCCATGGGGTTCCTGCAGTTGTGCCTACAAGCATGAGGGCGCAGCCCAATACACAGATGGCCGCTGCACCTACAGCTCCTTCTACAGGCTTCTCATCGCTAGACCGGAATGGACGCGGCGATGACGGAAACGCGGCGCAACTGACAGTCAACGAACGAGCCCACGTCCAGATAATGTCTGAAAGCGATACTGCCGGCAAGGTCGATAGTACAGAGAGCCAGCTTGCACCGAACTCTTCTTCTGGACATGAGCCGCCCAACACACAGTACGGCGATGCCGTTGCAAACAACTCACAGGCTGGCCTGGTGGGTTCGAAGACGCACACCACGATTACGCAGAAGCACTACTTCACGAACGGGGCAACACAGCCGTCCCAGGAACCCCTAGGGAAAAGCATTGAAAGCCATGTCCATGGGCCTAGTAACATGGATGTAGACGAGGACGATGCCGAGATCCAGGTGAAGACTTATGCCTGGTCGCATTTGACGCCATATGTCGAAGGCGAAGTCGTCCTGCATCCTGAGCCGACAATGCAGGTGGCGACAGCTGGAGGGGAAGGTGATGTTGATGAAGACGGCGATGCACCCGATGGCGATGGTGAAGGAAACGATGATGAGCAGGAAGCTGCGGACAAGATTGATGCCGCCGCCGCCAACGACGACGCCGACCAGTATGAGGACGAGGCCGATCGGGACGACGGCGACAAGAGTGCATCGCAAACTGTTCAGCATGAAGAAGACAACAGTCTTCAAGCTGAGGGCCTGGCAGACGTCGACTCTGGTGCTGCCACGCCTCTGCCTCAAACTCCACGAGCGGGTTCTCCTGTATCCGCGTCTGCGCAGCAGACAGGTGCCAACACTCCGTCGGCCGGCGAAGACAAGAGCAAGGCTGCCGTGGTATCAGCTGGGATTCAACGCATGAGGAAACAGTTTCGATTTCCCAAGCTGAGTGACCCAGCCCATTACAGGGAATATCTCAAAGACCACAGCAACATGTCGACGGAAGAGCTGTGGGCCTTCCTTGCACACGTCAACACGACGCTTCTGGTCTGGCAGGAAGAATGGCAAAAGTGCGGTCGGCAGGTCGATGACGCGGAGAACGCAAAGAGACGTGAGATTCAGGACGCCGAGTATGAGAAGAAAACGGCCAACCTTTCTCAATTCGCCAAGGTTGACTCATATGTTGAGAAAGACTTCGATACTCGTGGCTATCGCGCTCCAATCAAGGAGAAAGAGCAGGGCACCTTCCACCAGCGGTGGCAGGACAGGGTTGAGGCCATGGCTTATGGCTATGAGTATGATCCTCATCCGTCCAAGATTGGCCAGCAAGACCCCATTGCCCAGCGTGATGGTATCATGGCAGGCAGACAGCTGCGAAGCCAGCCTCAACAGACTGCCAAAGCCGCAGAAGGTGACGCAGATGGCCTTGTGGTCACAGGCAAGAGGTCAAGAAATCCGCCCAAACTGTACGAAGGAATGTTACAAGATGATGTTCGTTCCGCGACGCCGGCGACCCAAGTTGCCGCCGCCGCTACCATCGCCAAGCCTATCCTTAAAAGGCGCGGCAGACCGCCTCTCAATCCGCACCCCGAGGATGTCTACCACCCGAATGAGGATGAAGACTCGGCGCCAAAGAACAAGCCAGGGCCCAAGAAACGGGGACCAAAGGGGAAGAGGGCTTCAGCTGTGGATACAGAAGCCGACACGCCCACCTCAGACTTGGCTCATGTGCCTCCAAAGCGAAAACGCGGGCGGCAACCAAAGATTATCGTCGCAGAACCTGGGTCTGACGTAGCAGATCCTGAAGACACGGAACCCGAGGAGCTAGACGAACCACTACCTAAGAGAGCCCGCACCACAAGAAAACGCGGCAAGAATGCACGCACGACCAGCTCCAGGCCGATCAGCAGCGAAACAGTTGTTGACAGCTCAGACGAGTCACGACCCACAACATCTTCGTCCAACGCCACCATATCAGATGACGGATCGACGTACAGCTTTCGCCAGAACAAGCGACAGCGTACTTCAAGAAGCGAAGCACAAGATGATGAAGAGATCGTTGAAGCTATTCAGCCTCCGAAAAAGAAAACACGCATCAACTTCAAAGCGTCCACTCGCCCCCAAGCAGTGCACAAGGCCATACGATCAGAAGCCATTCTCAGCGATATGGCTGCAGCATCTCAAGCTGCCAGCGCCACCCTAGGCGAACCGTCCCATTTGATGACTTTCAAGCATATGGGTGACGACAAATGGAGCGTAAACCGTAGTTCACGGCCAAGTCGTGATTCCTCAACAGCAGCGCCGTCCGCACACGTCGCCCCTACTTCCGCTGCCCCATCGGCGCCACATTCTGCAGCATCATCCGCTGCCCCGAGCCAGGCTGGCGATGACCAAGACTACCGCTTGATGACCAAGTCGCAGAAGATGTCTGCTTCAATGAAGAGTAAGCAGCACATCTGCCAAGCCAAACCTTATAGCACGACTAGCTAACTATTGCACAGAACGCTGGCTCAATGGCAGTATGCAGAATGCTGTCAATAAAAGGAAGGCTACTTTGGCTGCGAAAAAGGCGGCCAATGCGCAGGCAGCAATGGTGGCAGCTACGCCTGCTCCTCCGCAGCCCAATGGGCATAGCCAATTTACAAACGGAGCCCAATTCCAGCAGTAAGGGTATACCAAAGATCGACACTGGTCTCGAACGGGACTTTAGATGGCGCGATCTGACCATGGCCATGACAAAAATTAAAGACAAACTGAAGCCGCGGATCATTTGGTTCAGGATTGGCAACTCTAGGCGCCATTCTACATGAGTTGGCCCGAGAGTCGATTGTTGCAGTCCCGCACGGGGCCGCGTACAGTGGCACACAACGGGGAGGGGGCTTTGGAGAGCGCATCTTTGATACTATTTTGCCTGCTTACTGTGGACCAAGCCCGGGTAGTAATCCAGATGGCCAAGGGAATAGCTCCGATACTTGAGCAAGTTTTGTACGATTTGGAGGATGGGAGTATGGAGAAGGGGGTAGGTGTAAAGCGTCAATAGGCGTCGTCAAATACAGTGGCTGTGAGTAGGAGCTTCGGATATCGCTGAGGTCGCTACCCGACACACTATACAATGATCCTTTGAATTTCACAGCCGGTAACCTGTAATGGTGGAAATCGGTTTTGTAAAACCCAAGTCACCTGTTGTGTACATCACGCAAGGTTGGCAGGTAGCATCGTGTGACTTTGCTCAAATCATCGGATTTCATCTGCCTTGATGCGAATGCCTGGTATGAAGTCTCCCTTTACACGCCGCAGCCCAAAATGCAGAGCCTTCCAATCCAGCGAGGAAAAAAGAACCGTCCCCGTGCCAGGTCATCCCCCTCGGTCCGCTCCCGCCTCGCTCTATCGTTGTCGGCGGGACCTGCTCGGTATCATCGTTCGCATCGGTGACCAAATCCGTAGCTTCGTTATTTGTCCTCCTCGAAACAGTTCCCCTTTTACATCACGACACCGGAGTTGCTGGCAATACGCTGGGGTCATACTTGTTAGTGGATTCTTGTCGACGTGAAGGAGGTTGCTACTCACAGGCCACAGCTCGGCGGCCTCCTTGCCGACGGGGCCGGTGATGGCAGAGCCCTTCATCTCACCCTTGGGGTTAACGATCTTACAGGTGTTAGCATTGTCTGTAGCCGTGTATTCGTGGAGAGGGGAAAACTCACAACACCGGCGTTGTCCTCGAAGTACAGGAAGACACCATCAAAACGCTTCCAGGGCTTGGACTGGCGAACGATGACGGCGGGGTGGACCTTCTTCCTCAGCTCGGGCTTTCCCTTCTTGACGGTGGCCATGACCATGTCGCCAACACCACCAGCGGGCAGCCTGTTGAGGCGGGCACCGATACCCTTGACGGAGATGATGTAGAGGTTACGGGCGCCAGAGTTGTCCGCGCAGTTCATGACCGCGCCGACAGGGAGACCCAGGGTCATCTTGAGCTTGCCACCGGGGGCACCGCGCCTGAAGCGCAAAAGTTAGCATGTGTGATTCTGCACCGTACGTCTGTCAAGACCATGCGATCGATCGTCCGGTCGGAAACTGCTACATTATTGTCGAGCTCGTCGTCAGGCCCAATGGCTTTCTGTCGATAGCCGTGTGGTAGGGCATTAAGGTTGGTTCGGCAAAGGCATGGCGTCGTGATGGCTCAATCTCCCATCCCTCCTCTTGCTGAGCCTTGTTCTTCGAATCCCCCCGCCTTCGCCGTTCCCTTCTCCAGCCCACCGGTCGCAGCAGTCGCAGTTCCGAGTGATCGATCGCAGAGGTTGTTGTCGAGGAGGCAGAACTTACGAAAGCTTGGCCATTGTATCGGTTGTGAGGGTGTTTGGGTTGACAACGGGTGTTCGTGAGGGCGATTCGGCGTCGGTGAGGTCAAGAGCAGGATCCCGAAGATTTTGTTTTTGCACCCAGCTCATCTGTGGGGTGGGAAACCCTTACGAAATTCGGGCAAGCGATCAGTCACGTGAAGATAGTGGATTGGCCTATAGCGGGTCTTGACAAATGAGTCAGCTGTTCACCGATTTGACCGAGACTACCCGCCCTGTGAGCTAAGTGGGCTGTGGGCATCCTTGCAGATGCCTCTCACGGAAGCATGTCTCAGTCTCGGATGTGTTGCTGAACAGCGTGTGCCATCCAAATGCAGGCCCAGAGGGAATTCTAGAAAAAGTTGCAGCCGCGGCGCACCATCTCTCACAGATGTAGGGTATATGGTAGAAGGTAATATCTTTGCATTCGGTAGGAGGACTACCAGCGTCCTTAAAAGGCGTGGGTGGTTTTGCGTAGGGAAGGACGAGGAAACAACTGGCGCACCGCCCAGACCGACAAGAATTATGAGGGTCTCGCCCCAGAGAAAGGGAATATTAGAGAACCCCCAAAGCCATAACGACGAACAGGGCAACGAAAACAGAAAAAGCAGCTCCGCTGCGTTGCCAACTCCAGCACCCGCCCTGCTCATCTCGGGTACCGCCATTAAGCCCGCCGCTGGATTCCTCCGAGCCGTTTGATGACGCTCTGTCATCAAAATAATTAACAACACTCTTCTGCCCAGGTCGTACGCTTTGCGGATTTGAAAATAGATCACTAGGATCCCAGTCTTGTTTCACTTGACCCAATGTGTCTAGATTTGGGCCCCAATACGAGTCTTGTGGGCTCTCCAGATTAGCATCGACATACCCGGCGTAGGTACTCAGATTAGTTGCCACGCTTGACCTAATCAGCGAATTGATTCCTTCAATGAACTCGCGAGTCCTGCCGTTCAGTGTTGGAATGCCGATACCGTAGCCCTGGCAAAACATAACCTTGTCGCGGTGACGGTAAGCCGTGGCGTTCATCGGGACGTCGTTGATACGGCCACCTGTTACATCGAAAATCAAAAACCAGATAAGGGTGCCCCGATTAGCGTCGTCAATGTAGTCCATGAGGTCCTTGATGCTTTCGGAGGAGAGGAGCTGGTCCTTGGTAAATGCCAAGCTCTTCGCAGTGAAGGCGGTACTCAAATCGCTAAGCCATAGGGCCGCATCCTGGGCTTGTTGCGCGACCGAGCCAAGCCAGTCGTTGACTACTACGGACTTCTTCCCGGTGGGGATGCGGTCAGGAATGCCTGTTGCCTCAAATTCTGCCTCAGTGCCAAAAAATGTGCCAGTTATGATAGCACCCAGTTCGTGCATGACGAACTCAGACCCAAAACGACGGTCAAGGTCAGGGTCAGAAATCAGATTTTGCCACGCCTCAAATACAGGGGATAGATCACGATGACGGGAGAAGGTCAGTGAGAAGGTGTACTCGACAACGTCACCCGGCTCCTGGTTGGTGCGCATGACGAATTCCGTAATGATGCCGAAACTGGCACCAGCCCCCTTAAGGGCGAAGAAGAGGTCTGAGTTCTCGTCCTCGCTGGCGCGCTGGATTTTCCCATCGGCTGTGACGACTTCGACTTCCACAACATGGTCAAGGCAGGATCCCCACATACGCGATGAAGGCCCAAGGCCACCCTATAGTAGATTTGTTAGTGCTCTAGCGGCAGATGGAATCATTCGAAACTCCTCACAATCGTAGCGTGACCACCAAGTCCCACACCTGGGCATGTGCCATGCGAGATAGCTCGACCACCGTTATCATGGAGCTTCTCGGTGACATCGTGTAGTTTGTGGCCTGCTCCGATTGTCGCTTGCCAATCATCTGGATTCATTGAGAAGTGCTGAAAGTTCTCAAGATCGATGACAAGCGCCCCGTCTTCGCCACCCAATCCATGGTTTCTGATACAGTCAGCATCGAGGGCTTCAAAACGACAGCACCCCAGACGTATTTACGCGTAAGAATGTCCTCCAGACCTAGCCTGGACTTTCACATTATTCTCCGAGGCACACTTGACAAATGCTGCGACATCTCCAGTACTTTCGGGTCTTGTGACGGCAGCGGGCTCAAGATTGATGTCGAGGTTATAGCGATCAACCCATTTGATTTGGTACAGGATATCGCTCGGGTAGCCTACGCACCCTGACCGGCCATCGCACACGTCGTTCAGGCAGGTTGCGAAGGCACCGCTGGGCGGCTGAGCCATGGCGTGAAGACGAAAAAAAGTCTGGCTTGCCGTCCGAGAAGTGATACGAGTGAGTTGGAGGAAATTGCCAGCATACACTGTGTACGGGGGAGGTGAGGATGGAGGGGCCGCTGATGCTCGAATTCCTCCGGAGGGAGGGGGAACTCTGTCTTTACATGGCTCATCGATCGCAGCGTACGGCAAGGCAGTAAGGTAAGGAAGGTACCTTACATTAGCAGCTGATTTCTCAACGTGCTGTCAACTGGCTGGCAGGGTTGCATGAGTTGTGTGACGTTCCCCAAGCAGGTTATTGGCAGGATCATCAAGTGAGAAGCCAATCGATAGCGCCAGTCCGCTACTGTCAAACTGCCAAGGAATCACTCGCCAAGGAAGGGGCTTCGTGGCACTCGCCACACCGTTGGTAGGCGAGTGGCCGCGACGTAGAGAGATCTTGCCTCTGGGTTTCGACGCAAGGTGCTTCGACGCAAGGTGCTTCGACGCAAGGTGCTTCGACGAAAGAGATAGGCACACATTGTAGTAACATTTTCACAACTTAAGAAGAAAAGGCCATGGCGAGGGTGCCGAGAAGATGGTTGGCACGACGTCAGAGTGTTGAGGCTGGTGACAGTGTCCTGGTGGATTCGGTGAGGGTGGCTTGCACATGAGACCTGGCGCAGCTGTTGGCACGATTCATAGCCTTATGCTGGCGGGTCTAGCCTGCCTGTCGTTCGCTGTTTTATGTCGATCGCCACGCGTAGTCGCGTGTGCTGTGCAAACCAGTTCCTGGATGTTGAGAGAGGTCAGTGTAGCGAAATACCTTGTCAAGGGGGTCAGTAATATAATGTGTTTCTTTGTATGTAAGGCATTGAATTGGGTCATAACCAACATACCATCAATGAAAGTAAGAGTGACTCTTTTTCCGTCGCACATGGGCAACATGCACCGCACAGTATGTGCAAGCTTGACACTGTACGTGGCTGCCTGTCGCACATGCCCCTTGCCAGGTTGGCGATGGTAAATCTTCAGGAGCGCCGCCAATGTCGTTCATCAGTCCTGCCTCCATCTTCAACTCTCACAAGAACAGCGCCCGGTGCCGTGTATCTCTCTCTTCAACTCGTTTACTTGCAGGCTTCGACCTTCGCATTTCGCCATTGCGGTCGACATCATCCTCGGCCTGCTTTTCCACACCATTTGCTCCTGAAAGCCTGAAATCCGCCAACAGACAAATGTTACATGTTGGCTGGGACCATACAAAACAAAGTCGATCGAGATTCTAACCCACCCGAACTGTCAACCAACAGCGCTCCACCAGGCCTGGACGATTTGGCTACATTGACCTTCGGGGTTCCTATTGCCTGAATTCTTCCACATTTCCTGGACTCGGCGAAAACATCGCCATGGCACACTCTGCAGCGTGGCACCAGTTACCCTCGTCATATCCCTCGGATGTGCCGGACTTGCTGGTCGCAACTGAGTTCACGGCCGAATCCTATGTGGTACGAATCTCCGACATGGCTCACGTATGGGTTGAGGAGATGGATCGTCGGGCCATCTACAAGCGCAGCCTCGCCGAGGACACGAGCATTGATCCGACAGACAGCCCTCAGAACATGCAGGCTTTCCTGTCCCGCATTCTTTCCGCTTTTGACGCCTCTCACGCGCACCACGAGGGTAGTCGCATGAGTCTCTCGGTGACAGACAACGACTCCCTTGCATTGAATATCACGTGCGAGGTCCCTGGACTTCAGCCTCTTGTATGGCCCATGTATTTCAAAAGATGTGCTCCGTCCCACGTCGGCACCAAGCTCGTGTTGCCGCTCCTGCAAGCCGAACACGCCCGCATCAGACAAGTCAACTCCCTACTTGAGATTGTCCAACAGAAAGATGTTGTTATGACCAAACTTTTGGATAAGTTGGAGGCTACCGGCACACGTCTCGAGAACATCTTCACAGCTCTTTCGGCCAAGCAGAAAGTTTCGAGACAGACCGCCGAAGCCAAGGTGAGAGGACTCGCTCCATTCAGAAGAGCCGAATGGCTAGCTCAATTGGCGGCCGATCATGAGGCGCCTTGCGATGTAAATTCTCTCCTGGGGGTCGTCTTTGAAGCGGAAGCGACCCTGACGGTGCCCGAGATGAATTACGGCGACTCGCCTGCCCTTGACGACTGGTGGACAAAAGTGGTTGCCGGCCAGGCTATACCTATCATTGGCCCGAAGAAAGCAGCCTCACACAAAGAGCAGACTCCGCCTCTCGAGTCAGTAGAGCCAGAGGACGAAGATGACTTCCAGGTTCAGTCCACCCCGCCACATTTATCTTCGGCTAGGACACGTGCATCGGAGAAGCAACCTGCCCACCCGAAAGCTGATGATGATTCCACTGAGGATGAAGAAGAACATGGCGTTCTGCAACCATCTCGCTCCTCGCGAATGCCGGAGAACAAGAATGAATCCATTCACTTGGGTGTGTTAGGAAGCAAGAGACAGACAATACAGCCGCCTCCGCTACCACCAGGTTCAGAGACAGAGTCCGATAACTCTGATGACAACAATGCTGCTCCTTTGCCCCTAAGCTTACCACCACAAGCACCATCGTCGCCTGTGGCGCCGACTCTTTCCAAGAAGCAAGGGTTCGGTCACATTGGAAAGCCCAAGCCGCCCGTGGCGCCCAAGGCTCCCGCCTCTCAATCGACAGATGCCATCGCAGTTCCGTCCGATAGTAAGCCGGTTACTCGTAAGCTGGGTCAGATCGGAAAGAAGATCACGAACGACGCCTCTCCAAATGCTCTTACTGGATCGCGCGGGCGACCTGCAGAAAGGACGGAACACATCGAGCTGAGAGAGACTTCAGAAGACCGAGCCAACAAGAAACGAGACGAACTACAGAGGGAGTTGCAGAGGAAGGCCAACGCGGGCCCCGCTCGGAAGAAGCGCAAGTTCTAGTCGATATTACCATCGCCTGCTGGTGCTGCTTCCGACAATGACTCAAGTTTGCCCCTTTTCGTCGCACAGCAGTGCCATACCCTTCAAAATCACTCTTGGTTTATCCTTTCGCTATGTGGCAGTCCTTCCCATCGATTTAGGTCCGTTCGAGTCACCTTCTAGATGCTTCTGTCTCCCAAACCACTGTCGCATATGCGTCTCGTACCGACGCACACTCCCGATGCAGATCGCCTGATGAACCTTTCCAGCTGAGGCTCATATCCAAATGAGCTGAACGTCTAAGCCTGGGGGCTTGCATCACGGCATGCGCTTGCTGGTACATGTACATCAGGCTGAGTGGGGGGCGCGTCGACGATGCGACTTCTGCATCGAAGGTTTAACGGGCCGAAAGCAGCGGAAAGCGGGAAGCAGTTCGTGTCACAAGACATGTGCGCTGCCGCGCCTGCGACACAACGGCGCGGAGGTAATCTCTGATGCGTTGCGACCCCTTTCGCTGGTGGCAATGGAGCATGGGCTCTGTGAAGCTTGAGACGATGCCCGAAACGATGCCCAACTGCTGTTTACGTCTAGCTCCAACATCTTCGCGGTATGGTTGCACAACGTCTTTCCCATGGCGGTTACAAATAACGCAGTGGTTGTGCGGCCGGTTGTTGCTGGACAGGCTGGCGACTCTCTGGTGGTTCACGGCTGTCCTCACCTTGAGCAAATTTTCAGAGCAAAAGAGAGTAGGGGTACCAAATTTTTGCGCCTGGACAAGCTATCCACTGAATGCAGCCGGTCTTTGCAGAAACCTGACGTGGGCCGCATATCACTGGGAGAGGCCTCCACCATCGAGGTTGTAAGCATGGAGGCACATATCTCGCTCCACATTGCCGGCATGAAATCATGGTGTCACCTCAGCTGTCAGCGAGGACGAGATGTTGTCCCTGCCCTGGCCTCTGTCTCGTTTCACCGGCACCGACGCTGTGTCGCTGGTAAAGTCTTCGGCGCAGCTATGGGATGCGCAACGGTGTTGACATATTCAGCTATCAAGAACGCGCCATTCAAATGCGATCTTTTTCTTCTGCCTCCAAGGTCACATGTCCGAAATCATGCAGTACCGATGTAGCTCAGTGTCTTGTCATCAGAACCATCTTCTTGTCGCGGAAGACAGATACAGAGCTGTCAAGTCAACGCAAACCATGTTCAGGATGCATTTCACCACATGTTACGCATATAGTCCATGATCGACCCCCACGGTGTACAGAGATTGTTGGTTTTCACATCAGTAAACTCCGTCTCTTTGTTGACCTGTTCATATTTATCAGTGTACTTTAAAGCTACTGACGGTCGCGTTTTATCAGAAACCGAAGATCACCATTAAAGGAGGTACTTAGGATGCCAAAAACTCATAAAACCGTGCGTTGATGCGGCTGAGGGCGTCTAGGGCGGCTATCCTTTTCGTTAGGACGCGCGAACTCCACTTACGCAGCTGGGTTCTTTAAACGAATACTCGCATTCATACAATGCCTTGATGACCGGGGATCAGGCATGTTCAAGGGCCGGTCCGCTCTGCATCCGCACATGGTGGCCACTGTACTTCACGCCACAGCTCCATGTCAGCATCACCTTTTGGGTTGTTTGGCCCTCCTGTCTCCTCACCTCTCACTCGTTGTGAGATGTTACGTCAACCCCGCAGGGACAGGTATCGACTCAAACCATAACACAAGCCTGCCTGTCTGACCGGGCGGTCTCGACCCGTCCGGTTGTGACAACGCATCACTGCATATGCAGCGCGAGAACCCTGGGCGAGCCCCTCTATAGTAGTCTTACGTCGAGGCTTCTTTCGCGTCGCATGTCCAGAAGAAGAAAGCTCAGAGTGCCATGCACCGGGAGAGCCCCGGTGGCGCACTACTGGCTCGTTGTGCCGTCCTGCAGGTGCCGTCTGCGCAACATTCTTCAACCCTTTCGTTGCGAAGCAAAGAGAAGTGAAGAGGGTTCCGAACAGGAACAGGTTTGACGACACCGCCTCGCATGCATTCCGCATATCAAGGATCCCTGCACTAACCGTATCGGTTGTCTGCAAGCAGGGTGCCAAAGCATTAGTGAGCTTGTACCTTTCCAAACAGCGGAGATCGAAATACACTAGGTACCAGTAGAGGGACATGGACTCCCCGATCCAGGGCTCCGGGATTGGTGTTTGTCTTCATGCCACGGACACAGGTTCCGAGGTTTCCTGGTCCCTGGTTTGCTGCATCGCTTGGAGGAAGCATGTGTGCTGGTTGAAAACTGATCAAGACAAGGTAGGGTACGAGCAACTGCAGTTAAGCACTGGAGAAGACGACAAAACGGGAGGAAACACGTCAGTAGCTGACCCCTGGTGATCTTCGAGTTGCTGAGGTGACCGGTGAAGTCTATCGTCTGTCGTATTGCGCTTCGAGATGCACGTCGCCGGTGATTCATCATCTTGGCCAGAAGCCGATCTCCTCAGCACTGACTTCTCAGTGTTCGCGGAGCTCCGAGAATCCTGCAGCCGTCGCTGATCCAGGGACTCCAGCCAGAGCCTGAGATCATTATGCGATGTTTGTTGCTGATCAGACTCAGGGCAACGTTCGGCAGATATGCCGTACGGTGAGGCGCACCACCTTACTCCTCTGCTTGCGGTCCATTCGTTTGCAGAAAAACCTGCGGTGCACTGTCATCTGAAGCAGCGAGGGCTGAAAATATCTCCAAACGCCGCAAATATGACGGGCAACAGCAAGCCGAGGCGCCAGCCCAGAGGCACCTGGTAAGCAGGCATTCTTGGCTCTCCAGGCGGCTACCACGCAGCGATGCATGTTGTGGCTTCGGGAGTCTTACCGTTTCGAGACGGTTGTAATGGCCGCCATACATCGGCGGTCGTCCGTCTGGGTGCCAGGTAATGAATCCGTAAAACAAAGGAAACAGAGGAAGAGTAGCAGTATGTCGTAGCAACACAAGGCCGTCAACTCCATGTTCAAGCTTGATATGGCCAAGATGGGTCTACTCGCGACTATATTCAAAGGCTCCTTGATTGCAACGCAACACGGGAAGAGCATAATTTGCTGTGTTATGTATGTTCGCGCACACCACCAGAACCGCGGGCACAATTACCTGGTTCTCGGGTTCCTCATTAACCAAATCTCATCCACCATGTAGTCCACGCGCAAGCTGGGACCGGTCCGTTTCGTTGGGTGATATAGCATGCAGGTTGTCGGCGAGATGTGAGAAATGACCTGAGCCCCCCACTGTGTATCACTTGCAATATGCTGTGAGACGCCGAGGACGATGAGATTGTTGTCTCTCGACCTGTGCGAGGATTCAATTTATCCAGGCTTCACAGCCTGGCTTAGTTGGTGAATGGCGAGCCAAGAAGCTTCCTGGACAAAGAAAGCAGGCATCATTAATCCAGGTAATGATGGTAGCCGACCGGGGTCAGACAGAAGTGAGGTACACCAAAAAGGCAGGGGAGGTCTGTCTCGTGGCGATGATCATCGGCCATCGGCCATTTCGGCATCGATCAGGTGCACCCTTTCTGGTTCTAGTTTGCGTCATATTTTGTGATGCACTTGAAGTGACATTGGCGTTACATTGTCGATAGCGCGTTAGCCCAGAGTTTCTGGTCATTTTCATCAAGCACTATGGGTAGCCAGGGCCAGATGTGTTACTCTCGAGGCACATCTTGAATGTCGCTCGTCCCCCCAGGATTGCCCCCCGCACGGCGGTGTTCTGTCTTCGGATTGATCTATCGGAGCTTTCTTGCTATCAAAGCTGTCAAATGTGTCAAAGCGGCTGCAAGCGGGTGTGCCTTGCCTTGCCACAGCCTTCTCCGATCTACGGGAGCTGGTGGCAGTGGATTAGCCACCTGCATCCCGGGCGCAGCGCAGCTCCACCCGCTTCAAGGAGCAAGCAGTAAAGCTAGGCTGCGAGAATAAAGGCTGGCGTCAGCATATACGGAGCAGGGAGACAGGGAGGGGTCAGCCCCAGTGGCGCCCTCAAATCATCGCCAAAGGACTCGGCGTGTGCATGAATGCAATCGTGTCGAGCTTGCAGAAGGATTGCGAGGTTGCCAAGCTCAATCACAATCGGCTGATCGGGCCCATCTACGATTCCAGATGATCGGGGGCGGCAGGAATACACTCACCGCTGCAACGCTGCTATGTGATCCCATCTGCCTTTGGCTAGATCCTCCCGTATGCAACACGATCTGCCCGGTCGAGGTCGCATGAGGCGAAGGTGACCAAAGGCAGGCGAAACAATCGCGATCTCTCCACTCAAGGTCCGGAACGGCGTTGACCAAATATTCTCCCATTGTGATAGCTGACTGACATGGGTACGCGGCAGGGCAGGGCCAAATGCACCGAAGATAATCACAAAAGTGTTGCGACTTGCCACAGGGGCCCTTGTCGTTGAGGACCAGCACCCTGCTGGCTTCCTTCTCACTGACCTTACGGGGCCCATCCCACTGATTCGCAGCGAAGCTGAAGAGTGCACTTATTGTGCACGGCGGGCCCCCTTCCAATGTCAAACGAGCCGGAACCACTGGGCTTCTTCATAGTCGCGTCATGTTCAAGCCATCATGTTTTTTACCATATTTATCTGGACAATTATGCCCAAGGCTTATGGGAGAGAGCAAGATAAACACCAACTGTCTCGGATCGAGTGCTTTTGTCTTCCCGAAGACCCTCGATTTCCTTATGACCAAGATGGTATGAGCCTGTGATCATGACCTGTAAGCCTACGGATTGAAGCCGGCAGGGCAAGAAGTGGAAGAGGCGTGGCACACAACCCCCAGATCAGAGGGATTTAGCATCCACGCATCCATCACCAGTTCTCTAAGCTCAGTGCGGTATAGCGCGGTCCCACGTACTCGGTATCCAATCGAGGTTACCTGTGAGATAATCGCCCCCTGTCCTCATCAGTAGCATCTACCAACATGTAATCACAATTGCCATCATGGCCAACGCCAACGCCAGAGCAAAAGCTTCAAGGGCTGAAGTGATCAAGGGCTGAAGCTTTGAGGCGCGATCGAAATCCACCTCTGGTCGGCTAGACACCCCGCCGTCCCATTTTTGATGGCTCAGAATGAGACTAATTATCCTTCTCGCTGCTTACGAACAGATGAAGAGAAAAAAACTGTAAAAAATGCTGTTCTAGTTTCTCTCTCTTTCTTTTTGCGTGTGTTTGAATGATCGGTGCATAGACGACATCCAAGCAAGACGAGAGCTCAGTACACCGGCCGAGCATCCCACATCTTCCGAGTGTCCCGTCGTTGGTACGCGCCACCCCCTGTCACACCTCTAGACAGATCGACTGTGACGAGCCAGCCCTGTTTTAGAAGGATGAATAACCAACCAACGGTTGTACATGTATGAAAAAATGGCCGCGACTGGCATGGCTGGCTTTCTCGCCCTTGAATTGGCTATGTGGGACAGGCTACGCGCTAACCCCTTGCCCTGTCGTGATCACACATCGCTTCGGCACCGATGAACCCCGCGACAGCTCACTGCTAAAGAACAGGCAAGATTTGTCGTTGACAGGCTCAAGGTTGGCTCCGGACCCCCTACCCCCCTCTTTTCTCCTTAATCAACGTGCTCACTCGTCGGCCTTATTCTCCGAGAATTATCTGTGCAGCTGTCAACCTCCCAGTACGACTTTTACAGCGTACCTAACTTCATCCCCCATATTGGTGCGCCCTAGTGGTCCAGTTCACTGGCTGTGCTGCCCAGCTGCTTTTCTGTGCTGCCACACCAACTATTGCTCACTTGAACCTCCTGAATCTGTACACCTTCGCCCCCACACGCCTTTATTCCTATCAATGTGACGGAAGGCTAGGATGTGCATGAGAGGGAAACAGTCACAGCGCTAACCGCTTCTGTACCACCGCAACAAAGCTCGCAGTCCCGGGACAGAGACGGAGAGAAACCCCGGCGTCGATGTTGCATTCGTGTGCGAGCTAGAACATAATTCCGTACGTCACACAGTATGCGACAGGAGACCTCCATGGCGAAATGGCCAGAGAAATCTGAGCGTGGGAGGTCCATCCTTACACTGCACACATGTCGAAATCGCCGTAACTACTCAAGATACCACTCTCCTACCCGATTTCCAGACTCTCGGCCGACATCCAGGTGTGCTTGAGAAGACCAGCTGGCTAGTTTGAAAGCATTCGAGAAAAAAGAAGATCAGGCAATATATCATGGCGTGGCAGGACTGCAATTGCCGCTGGGCGTCTGATAGCTGCCCTGACCCCAAATGTAAAGCGTGTTTCCACCCTCAGAAAAACGACTCGCGGGATACACACACCCTACATCGCTGAGGCTGTACTGTGGAAAGTCGTACGCATCCGGTTGTTGGAGCGAGCCGACAGAAGCAACCGTATTGGGACCGGGCAGCCCGAAGTCCAGACCAGCCGGTACACCCTCAGGGTCCAAGGGCGAAGCGAGCCCAGCCTCGCCGTGCGGAGGCGGTTGATTGGAGTATGCTTGCTCGTACATGACGACTTGCTCGGACGCAAGAGGCAGCTGCTGGTGCTGGTGATGCTGTGAGAACCGATATGGGGCCTGGCCCGAATTCGTGCCCATCTGCAGATCGAGCATGTTCATTTGTTGAGAGATCACGCCTGCACTCGTGGGCGGCGCTTCATGTCGAGCCTTGCGTCTCCCCCTGCTGGTTGCGAACCCCCCCTTCTCTCCAGATACCGCTCGACCGGGCCTTGAGAGATGGGGGTGCTTGGGGTTGGCGTGGTATGTGACATTGTGAGAGAGAGAGCTATGCCGTCCTCTTTTCAACGAATGACTGCCTTTGGGCCGGTACCTTGTGGTGCTCTGCACACCATCGCGGAGAGCCCAATCTTCGAGCACCCATTCTGTCGATTTTCTCGCGTCGCCTGCGGGCTGAGGGATGGGGAGAGGACCACCTGCTCCTAATTCCGTGTCTTGAATCTTTTCCCTCCTCACAAAGGCCTTGAAAGAAGACGAACTAGTCAGCCCTGGATACTTCGGTTCTGCTTTAACAAGGAAGAATACTCACGTGGTTCATGCTGAGGTTATGGCGGATACTGTTCTTCCATCCATCTTTCCCGGGGCTGTTCGCCTTGTCAGTGTTCACGCGAAACCACTCGTATATCTCCTGCAGAGTCATGGCATGACTAGGGACACTCATGAAGGCTCGATAGATCAGCCTAGCATAAGGCTCGCCATTTTTCGAGGCGTCCATGGCCCGCGAGTTTGCTGTTGCAGAGGGAGCTTGCCCAGGAATAATGAATTGGGATCCTTCTTTCGCGCATGACTGGTCCCTCATAGATGAGAATATGTTTGATGGGTTGACGTCGGCGCCTGGTATGCTGCTATGAGGCGGCGTATCTGAGAGCACGGGCGCTGGGTGAGGCTTTCGAATCAAGTCGGGGGGTTCTGATTCGAACTCATGGTAATAGCGCGGGTAGTTGAGCGCAATGTTCACGTCAGAAATCTCAGGGAGATCGCAGGACAAGGGGCTATGAAGAGGCCGGCCATCGTTCGAGAGCGCCTGATGGCGAGACTGTTCGATGGGGGAATTCCAGTCCGATTGATCAGAGGCGGCAGACCAACCTCGTGGGGACACCACGACTGGAGACGAGGTGTAATTTGTCGACATGGCCTCGTAGTCAGTGTAATTGTAGGGACAATTTTCGAATTCCGCGTTGGACACCGGCGGGGTGTTTGGATGCCATCTTCTAGAAGACGAAGAAGCATATTGCTCCGCGTCTTCTCGGCCGTCAAAAGAACGCTGGCTGTTCGCATACCAGGAGTAACGGCCTTGAATAAAAGAGGAGAGTTCCTTCCTCATGACAGGCGAGGTGTAGTATGAGGGGTTCGGTAAGAGCTCGTCACCGTCCAGGTTTGAACAGGAAGGCGATTGCGTTGTGCTAGATAGGAAGGGCCTGTCTTCGTACTTTTTGGCAAAGGCGGGCAAGCTGTCTGGGATGTGTGTTCCCATGGGTAATCTCATAACAATCGTCGTCTGTCTTGAGGATATAGCTTCAGGCAAAGACTGATATTGGCGGACCCGAAGGCTTTCTTGGTAATGAGTCTGCAAATGTATTTGCGATGCTAGGGGTGTGAATGCTGAAGTAACAGACAAGATGCCGTCAAGAATGGGACAAGGACAGGTAGAATGGTCATGGAGTGTTACTAATGTATGACGAGGAACGAGGGATGAGGGTTCAAAGAGCAGAGCATTCAGAATTTCCCAGGTAGCTATGATCGTTCTACAAGACGGCCTTATTAAACGTTGGGTAAGGAGAGCGAGAGACAACAGGGACCCTGTCACAAGAGCGCTAGCTGTTTTCATGAAATACGCAGCCACACCGTCTTTGGACAAGAATCCAGAACAGGAATAATTAGTGGTTCAAGGACTCCGGGCATGGGTGTACATCCGGTCGTTGGAGCAAGTACCATGCCAAAGCAATGACCAGTAGGAGCGTAGTCGGTCGTTGGACAGGCGGCAGGGGTGTCTGTTCGAACGGTGAAGAGAGCTCCATGGCTTAATCTTGACCACAATGTGTGGGTAGGAGTACACACTATCTTCTAGCTCAGCCCAAGATTCCGTCAGCCTTCACCTTCACGACGTCCTCTTCATGCGTGTTTTATGCATTATGCGCCAACAATCCCGTATGTGTATGTATGCGTGTGTGCTTTGCCATGTGCATGTTTACATGGGTTGCATGCACTCATGTTTCCTCCTTTGCCGCGTGGGTTATACAGCACACCCCCCCGGCCCAGTCACATGCAGGTATCAAAGCTCAGACTGGGGGACGGTGAGGGGGAGGGGGGCCACAGGCACGTAAGATACAAACAGACAACAGATGACAGTACAGTGGCATTGTTTTCCAGGTGGCGGGGTCAGACGCCCCCCCCCCCCCCTTCTCCCCAACTTACCAAGGTCACCAGATCATTCTGGGCGATGCAAATGGACTGAGCCCTGGCCAGGCATCCTGGATGACTGAAGAGACTAGAAATCTAGACTTTGGAAGGCGAGGCGGTCATGTAATCACCAGGCATCTCAAGAGGCGATGCTGACGCGTGCGTAATGTTCCGCGAGTCGCGTGATGAGCTGCCACAGTTGCGTCTGAATGAATCTTGTAATACCACCATCAAGAGGACCCGTCTACTCCGTGAACGCGAAGGGCAAGACGGGAGTCATTGCATACACAAACCCCCAACAAGCACCCCCACGAAGAAAGCACGTAGAATACCGAGCCGGGGACGTCCTACACATGAATACCGGCAGTGGAGCAATCCCCAAGGTCCGTGACAGGAAGACGGGAGGACGATTCCCACAATGGCTTGCTTGTCACATCGGCCATCAGCGAAGACGTTGCACGCAGGGGACAATGCCCTGTCATCCCGGCCTACAGCTCTGCATAGCGTGGCAGGACAGGACCTGCCTTTAACAACGGCCATGTCACGCCCAGATGTGGCCGGGCGGCGGTCAGCTCTGGATCTGTGATGGAAGAAGGCTTCGTCGGATACGCGCATGGCCAACCCTTTCGCCAACACAAGCCAACCATATTTCTCCTCCAGATGAAGCTCCTGGGATGTTGCACTGACAGCGACTTGCTCCATTTCCTGCGCGTAGCCTTATTTAGGCGGTGAGATGGCGAGGCATCCGCAATAACCCGTTGCCCGGTACACATGATTGAGCGTCGAAAAACTTCTAGAAGACTCTTGTACACAGCTCCGCAGGTACACGTCGTCGCATCTTAAGGAATGGATTGGGGGCAAGCTTGTGAACTCTATGCTCCCAGACGTATTAGTGTTGTGTTGTAAGGGCGAAAGGGGCTTCCATGCGTCTTGTGAATAGCACACAAGACTGATAGTACAGAGTCGCCCGTGGGGGCAGGTGGTTGCAGTTCGTTCAGGAGCAGCCGACGTAGCAAGAATCCCGGTTCGCATCGTCTGGCTGAGCAAATCCAGTTCTAATTGAGGGGACAGCACACGGCATGGCATCATGTACTTCTTTGTATTGGTGCCAGATGGCCTACCAACGCCCAGGATGTGCACGAAGATGGCCAGCACTGGCCTGATAAGACAGGAACGGCGCACAAACCCTGCGAGGGGCGAAGATGGATGTGCCGCTGTCAAAATGTCAGGGGAAGCGAGAGGAACTGCCCCCTTTCCAAGACACCTCACACTCAGCTTCCTTCTCTGTCCTCTTTCCTCTCCCTTTCGTCAAACCTGGCGAGGTGGCACAGTTTCGAGCGATGGGGTCTACGGACTCCATGTTTGGGGCGCCACACGATATATGACAGCCCGTATGCGTGCATTTTTAGCCAGCAGGTCGTTTGTGCGCCACATTGTCGTCGGCCTGCCATTTCCGGATTCGTCGCGGGTGGTCGGCCGTGACATTGGTTGCCACGCCATGGACTGCTGATGGCTTTCGGCGCTGTCGTTCCCCCTACCCACCCTCAAACAATGGCGACGGCTGAACCCACATACCAGGTTCCTTGGCCGGCCTCTGTTATATTGGATGCTGCGGACATGGTAGGGGTCGACTCGAAGAGGGCGTTACTGCACGAGACTACTTTCGATAATAGATCTGAAATGATCTGTCAGTTCCATAATGGTGCAGGGAAGATGAGCACATGGCGCTTACCTTTTTGAACTGGAAGTGTAGTTGAAGGATGCCCTGTAGGTGTGTCGAATCAGCATCGTCATGCTACGAAACGGGGTGGGGGGTGATAAGGAAAAACAAAGATCAGCGGTAGAAGTGGAGAGACGCGCGAGTGGGCGGTTGAGCCCAACTTGCTTCGAAGTATGCCTAGACGAGCGGGAGTATACGAGTGCCTTGCACAGCAAGGACAGACTGCTACGTAGATGACTTCGCGGAGGAGGAGTAGAAACAACCACGGCCAACGAAGCAAAACGACAGCAGGTCTGGCTTACCTTGTCAAAGGAGCTCTTGAAGCCCCTATCCTTTTTCGCGCTATAGTCCCATTCACGATCGACTATACGGAATGCAATGTCCTCGTATGGCGGTCCGGCGATGAAACGAATGAGACATGTGTCTTCTTCTCCGGCCGGAGCAAACGACTCTCCCCTCCTGCGACCATGTTCTCGAATAATCTTGAATGTTGGTGCCTTTGTCTTGTCGATAAGCTCCGGATAAAAAATGTTGAACTTGTATCCTTGGACGACCTTGGGAGGTGGATTATCGTGGTCATAATGTGTTTGGTTATACTTGTTCCACTCGTATCCCATTTGAACGCGATTGAAATATCGTGGTTTTCGTGGCCGGTGCTTGTCTGCCCATTGGGGCTTCGCTGTTGAAGTAACAGCCTCCTCTGCCGCGAACACCTCTTCGTCCTCGCCAACGCCGCGAGCGACTTCGCGTTCATAAAGGGCCTTTGTGGCCTGAGAGAAGTCTTCATTCTCCACTTGTGCAAAGCGAGTCGTTCCGGGCGGGGCGCCGCTTGGGATTATTGATTTGACTGGAGCCTTTGTGTCGAACCTCGAGGACGATTCGGCTCCAGTGGAGGTGCGAGCGATAGAGGACGCGCCGCCGAGGCCTGGAACAACATCCGATGAGGGATGTGCTTTGTCTGGGTGGCGCGCGTTCAGCACGGCAGCCCGGCTCTCCTTGACCGCCTCATACACTTTTTTCAGCTTCGCCTTTGCCTTCCAAACTAGAAGACTGCGCAGCAACTGTTCCCAGTAATCCCTGTCGATGTCTTCGTTGGATTGTAGCTTGGCCTTCACTTGTTTTTCGAGGGCTTCCAGTTGCTCGTATGTCTTGGGACTTAGGATCTTGTCGACGTCAGATGACACAGTGCTGACAACCCTGTCATCCGGACCTTGTGGTTTGAGTTTCTGTCGGCGCTCAGAGCAGATGGTCTGTAAAGACAGCCAGTATTCACGATTTCTCGCATTCGTCTCGAGGGTGTGGTAGGATTTGATATCGGCTTCGAGTTCCCGCAGCTGAGATGCGTCGAGGCCTTGTAATACGACATCGGGTGGTGTTAGGGCAACGTGTAGGTCTGCCTCGTCCTCGTCAAACAAGTCGCGATCATCATCAACAAAGCGAAGATTGTAGGCGAGGAGGTCGATCGGTTTGGCGCGTCCTTCACGAACACGAATGTCGGCCTTTTTCTTGGTCTGTTTTAGGACAAACTTGTCCTCTTCGGCGACAAACTTCCGAGCCTGCTCATCCTGGGTCATATACGCAGAGGAAGACGTCTTATTCTGTCGCGACCTGGCTGAGGGAGCCGGGTTCGTCGGCTTGGAGATGCGCGTGTTGGGGTCATTCCGAGGCGAGGCAATATCTCTTCGAGGAGGAGACCTGCGCCCAGATTGTAACATAGCCTTGCGTGCCGGATCCATGGTGTATAGTTTTGGAGCTTTGCTAGGTTGAATGCTGCAGCGCAAGCCGTCAAAGAGGCAGTTGATCGCACGCTGATGCGAGCGTCACGTCTGGCGGCTTGCCAGGCAGCCCAAGTCTTGAAAGATTCGGCTTATCACCACGTGATACGGTGAGCTTGGAGCCTTCCCCCCAAGCTGCGGAAGGAGGAGCTGCTGTGGGGACTCTCCAGGCCCCTGTCGACTGTCGCTACAAGCTCGCATTTCACAGGGGTAATCCGATTGTCCCTAGTGCGTCTCCCGCCCACTTGTCCGATCTAGGAAACGTCATGACGCACAAGACATCGAGAGTCCGATCGCGAATCGCGCCAGCTGGGTCGCCCAGCAGCGCGGCGCGCCTCGCGCATCCGTGCTTCAATACCTTTCTCACCTGGTGTATGTGCAACACATCCCTCTCTAAATTTCAATCTGAGGTCAAAAGACTATGAGAACGACGAAGCCCTGCGCTGCCTTCTGGACCCGACTCTTCTCACCTGCTTCTTGTCTACCACTACGATTAACCGTACCAACACTATTGAACAGAAGTCCACTGCGCCCACCGGCATCAGCTCGTCTGTGCCGTGAACATCATCACCAGATCAAACGCTGTACAGCTGGTCCAGCTATTCACTTCGTGGCCATGCCTCCCAAACGCGGCGCGAAGCGCCAACTGTCCGCCTCAGCCGTTACCTCTGATGTGCAGCCGGCGTCAAAGAAAGCGAAAGATCCCTTGCGCGAGCCGCATCCCTTTTACAAGGACGCGGAAGAACATGGCATTGTTCTTCGGAAATACTACCCTCACGAGATGAGCAATGATCGGGCCCGCGCCTACAACAACAACGAACTTCCCAGGCCCATCGAAGAACTCACCTCTGCGCTGGCCGATACATCCATGGCTCGTAAGGGCGTCAAGGTGGGGGCTGCCGTCGTGCACTGGTTCAAGATGGATCTGAGGCTATCAGACAACACGTCGCTCCGCCTGGCGAGCGAGAGGGCCAAGGACGCTGGTGTGCCTCTGATCGCCATGTACATTATCAGTCCTCAGGATTTCGAGGCCCATCTGACGGCTCCTATTCGTGTTGACTTTACGCTACGAACATTGGAAATCCTGAAACACGACCTCGCTAAACTGGACATTCCGCTTCACATTGAGACTGTTGAGAAGAGGAGACAAATTTCTGATCGCGTTGTCGAACTTATGGGAGAATGGGGAGCGACACACCTCTTCGCCAACATGGAGTACGAAGTTGACGAGCTACGGAGGGAAGCCAAGTTGGTGCGCAAATTCGCTGACAAGGGCATGTCGTTCGAAGCCGTACATGATACCTGTGTTGTGCCCCCAGGCCAATTGCAGACTGGCACCGGAAAGCAGTACGCCGTATATACCCCATGGTACCGATCTTGGATGCGCCACGTCCACGAAAACCCGGATCGGTTGGAACTATTTGACCATCCGAACAAGAACCCCAGCAGTGCAAAGGAAAGGTTTGGCAACCTATTCGCGTCGGAAATCCCGGAGGAGGTGCCGAACAAGACTCTCGGCGCTGAGGAGAAGAAGCGCTTCCGAGCACTTTTCCCAGCTGGAGAGCACGCAGCTCGCGAACGGCTGGACAAGTTTTGTGACGGCAGCATCAGCTCTTACGCAGATCGGCGCAATATCCCAGGCGACAACGGTACCTCTTCACTCTCGATGCATCTTGCCAGCGGGACCATCAGCTCCCGGACTTGCGTCAGGACAGCAAGGGACCGCAACAAGACAAAGAAACTCGATGGTGGAAACGGCGGCATTCAAACATGGATCAGCGAGGTAGCCTGGCGGGATTTTTATAAGCATGTTCTGGTTCACTGGCCCTATGTCTGGTAAGAGAGATGATGCTCCCACCCTGACAAAGCATGCCTGTCAACTAACCTGCAAGCAGCATGAACAAGCCTTTCAAACCCGAATACGCCAATATTGAATGGTCTTATGAAAAGGATGATTTCAAGGCTTGGTGTGAGGGAAAGACAGGTTTCCCGATTGTCGACGCTGCCATGCGTCAGATGATCCATGTGGGCTGGATGCATAACCGCTGCCGCATGATTGTCGCATCCTTTCTCTGTAAGGATCTCCTGATCGACTGGCGCATGGGTGAGCGGTTCTTCATGGAGCACCTGGTGGATGGTGATTTCGCATCCAACAACGGCGGCTGGGGCTTTAGCGCCAGTGTCGGTGTCGACCCGCAGCCGTACTTTCGCATCTTTAACCCTTTGCTACAGAGCGAAAAGTTCGATCCCGATGGCGAGTACATTCGCAAATGGGTCCCAGAGCTAGCAGGTGTCAAGGGCAAGGCGATACACGATCCATATGGACGCGGCGCAGGGCCGCAAGCGAAGAAAAAGGGCTATCCTGAGCCCATAGTTGCGCACAAAGATGTTCGCGAACGAGCTTTGACAGAGTACAAACGGGGTCTGGGCCGGGAGGATCTGTAGTTATTGGAGACAACAGGGTCGATCGTGGGCTTCTTCGTAAGGGTCGTTTGTATTGCATCATCATTGATATCCATTTTGGTGCCAATGTCTACTAACCCTCGATTGTGATTAGTTCTTGGTTGACAGCGCCTAGCTCGTATTCGTCGCCAGTATAGCGTCACCTTATACTAGACAGTCATGGCATATTCATCTTGGATATGCCAATAATACAGAGCATTTGTCAGGAGGCACCTGCGGAGCCACGGGACAGGGGCCTAGTTGAGGGGTTTGGGATTATGAGAGGACGTACATAAGGGCCGTGGAGGGCCAGAATTCAGATGTATTGTTAACCCGTCCCTAACAATTGACTGCGGATATCACTTGGAAGGCCTCTTCACTCTGCTCATCGACACGCTCTGATAGCACCCGTCTCACTTTTTTGGTGACCCGTTGGCGGCCCCGAATCTCCTGGTCTTCTTTCTCACCTTGAGAGTTCTAGCCTGCTCAAGTTTCTCGCCACGTCTATGTCGTCCATCTGGTTAACGAAATTGCCATGGGGAGCATGGAGAGACTGAGGACTGCCGTACCTGTTTCGCCTGTGGGCAGCCATGAGCTCTGAGATGTTCTTTTTCTCGCAATCAACGCCAGCATCGCCAAGGGACCGTCTGAGATCTTCAAGTATGGTTTGCATCACTGGCTGTTCATGACCTTCGTCCGGGGTCAATGCAATGGAGCCTGGCGAGGAGGGAGGATCCTCTGAGGGTATATCAAGAGGAGGAATGGACGGCATCTCTCTGTAGAAGAGCTGGCCTTCTTCGCCACTGAGGACTGGTGGTTGAAGCATTCGTGGTGCCAAGGGGCCAGCGAGACCCGCCTGCAAGGCGGCTGGAGTGTAGTCAGTTTGCTCAGGGACGGTTGGCCCGGAGCTTGAACGTCCCGTAAGCCCGAGCGATCGCCTTTCATACCGATGAGGTGTGTCCAAGTACGTTTGGAGTAGGTACGAGGGCGGACAAGACGAATGTCCGTCGAGGGAATGGTTAAGTTGGCTGCTTGCGTCGTCGCTTACGACCACAGACTCCGGTGACGGAGCACTAGACCTCTTGAACTCGGACATCGCACAATCGAGGGGTCGTTGACTGCTGAAGACTTATGTTAGCCTGGTTGAGCCAAGGTCGAGAGCTTGAATATCAAACTTGCCTCGGGCCATTGCTTTCTTTAGCGGCTGAAGCGGAAGGATAGTTGCAAGTCCATGAGCCCGGGTTCGAGCATGCCCTTCCTGCTTCTGAGTATGAGGCTGATGAGGTGGCTGTCATGTCACTCTCGACAATAATAGGCGAGGGGATCGGCTCAAGCACCTTGGGTTCGTTGGGCTTTGTGGCGGACATCGTAGGAATAGTTTGCGCCTTGACTGTCACCAACCCAACAGGGAACTGCTAGAGAGACCACGAGAGAACAAGACAATGGAAGGGGTTTTGTGTCCATGGGATCCCATGCATACCCCCTGATCAAGACTCTCCAGTGTCGACGCATGCTGCCCATCTACCCACCCACAACGGCGGGCTGGTAAGGCATCCTCCCCACACACACGACCCAAAGGGGCGGAATGAGCCTTCCAGGTCAACGGAGCAGGGGCGGGATAAGCTCGTTTCTTTTGCCAAAAGCCTCCTTTTGACGAGAAGCCCGAAGACAACGAATGCAGGTTATATGACGCGACGCAGATGAGGCAGGGTTCCCGAGGGAGTGGAACCAATGACCTGAGGGGCCAAGCGGTTCAGCCCGCAGCTTGGGGGCCCGGGGAGGAGCAGCCCGGTCTCCCAGGCTGTATTCTGCATCTTAGCGCGGGCGCCTTCCGCGGCGTGCCACCAGGCTGGGATGATGTGGATGCCAGCGACCCAACAGTGTGGGTAATGGCTTTTGGTCGGCAGAGTGGAGAGGGTGGTAAGGAGGGGTTTGCTGTTCGCCCGAGTGAGTGGAGAGAGAGAAGGGGCGAAAAGGAGTGACACGAGTTGAACTTCTGGCATAGGTGCAGAACACAGCGTTCCCGGTATGGGCCACTCAAGCGAGGCCGTGATTCCTCGGGCGCCCCTGTAGTTGCTTTTGTCCTCCTTCTCCGACAATGCAGAGGCTACTAGCAACGGCTTTCGAGGTCTGTCTCGAGAAGCCTACGAAGGCTCGAAATGTGACAGAGTTGTGGAGGTTGTGACGCGAAAATCTGACAGACCCCAGCCATCCATGTATACCGCCAGACTACTGCAAGCTGCCGCATCTTTCTCTGGCCTGATTGATGGCTGCCAGCATAGATCACTAGCATGCCAAGATGCACGACGCTCAACGTTCCGACAATTGTCGGGTGCGTTGATAAAATCCCCGGGTCAGGACCAGTGACCTCACAATCACACCACCTAGACGTTCTCCTCGTGCCGGAACACTTTTTGAGCTGGCTTGTCGAGGACCACTGATCCGGCCCTGAGCTGGCGGCATAGTACGGAAGACTGCAGGCCGAACTAGCTCAAAACCCCAAATTTCAAAAAATCGAT